CATATTTGGGTGAATACCGAGACTTAATGTCTTGGATAAATGAAATGGTAGCCAAAGTAACAGCTCCTGAATTAGCTCGTGACGTGCCAGGTGCTGAAGCATTGATATTGAGACACAATGAATATAAAACAGAAATTGAAACACGCAACGAAGCATTTGATAAATTTTACAAAACGGGTCAGGAATTGATAGAAGAAGGCCATTTTATGGCAAAGGAAATAGAAGAGAAAATATCTGTTTTACAACACAGACAACAGTTCCTGAAAGATACATGGGAACAGAGAAGACATATCTATGAACAAAATCTAGATACTCAATTATTCAAACGTGATGCAGAAACATTAGAAAATTGGATTGTAAGTAGAGAGCCTATGTTGAATGATGGTAAGTTAGGAGAAAGTATTTCTCAGGTAGAAGAATTAATACGGAAGCATGAAGATTTTGAGAAGACTATTGAAGCACAGGAAGAAAGATTCAATGCTCTTAGGCGTATAACTATGTTAGAAAAAGCATTCCAAAAGCAGCAAAAGGCAGAAATGGCTGCTAGACAAGCAGAGAAAGAAAGAATAGAACGTGCACGCCTCGAAGAACGAAAACGCAAGGAAGTACAAAGAATAACTGAGGAAAGAAAACGTGAAGAAGAACGAAGAAGACTACTTGATAGTCCTCACCATGCTGTGCATGATGAATTTAATGGAACAACTGAAGAACATGAATCTATTAATAAATTATCGCCTCTGAAAGCTTCAACCACAACTGAAGGTTTAGATTCGACACCAGTGCAAAAATCACATGGTATTTCTCATGTATTTGGTGAGAAATTGAGAAGAACAACTCCTGATATTAAACGAGCAGAGAGTATGAAAGTAGATACAAAAAAACCGAAAAGAACACCTAGTTTCACGACTAGAAGAAGAACTCAAAGCTTTAGGAAACTTCAGAGAATGGAAAATATGGATGCTCTTCCACCAGTAGAAATTCAAGGTCTATTAGAGAGGAAACATGAACTTCAAAGTGCTGGTAAAAAGGCAGCTGTACGTTCGTGGAAGCAATACTATACGGTATTATGTGGACAGCTTCTGTGTTTCTTTAAAGATATGGAGGATTTCTCATCAAGTAAAGCAGCCACTGCTCCTATTACTATTTTCAATGCCATATGTGAAAAAGCAGATGATTATACCAAAAAGAAAAACGTGTTTAGATTGAAATGTACTGATGGATCAGAATTTTTGTTCTTAGCACCAAGTCAACAAGAAATGGAAGATTGGGTCAATAAAATATCATTTCACGCTAAATTACCACCAAGTCTACAATTATTAAGTTATGATGAATCGCAGAAGGAAGGTCTGGAAAGATTACAAAATGTAACTATAGATCATGTTGATGATACTATTTCAACTGGTAGCAGTCGTGCTTCGACTCCGGAATTAGAACGAAAAAATTCTGTGATCAGACGTGATATATCAAATCAACATTCGCCAAATAGTGTACAAATTGAATTTCTTCAAATGCACAGACAAAATCAACAAAAACGCGATCTGCAAAGTAATACTGAATTTTTAGCTACTCAGAGGAATGAACCACCTCAGACACAGACAGAATTCTTACATATGCATAGACAACAACAATTATTAGCACAGCAGCAACAATTGATACAACAAGAACAATTGGCAAGTCAAAGAGATCAATATCAAGCAAATTCCGGAGAAAAGCCACCTATTCCTCCAAGAGGGGCACCTCCTCCTATTCCAATGAGATCTCCTAGTTCAGAAACTATTTCGCAATATAGACGTGATGGTACATAGCTTAAATAAATTTTCTTTAGATAAAAAAAAATTTTATGGAAATAATAAGAAAAATATGATATGATATGATTGTTTTGATTTATAGACATAGAACAAATTCAAGGAAGATCTGGTTTTTATCAGCAACGTAATATAACATTAAATCACAATGGATCCAATCAATATTCATCTAATACAAATTGGCATAGACAGAGTATTGATCTTAATACACAACATCAAGGTATTTAGAAAAACTCTTTATGTATGTGTGGAAAATCCCTTTTGTTCATTGAATGTCATTGTTTTGTAGAATTAGCACCTCCCTTGCCATCAAGTGCCCCTCCACCAACCAGAATAGCTCAATGGGGTGTTCCTCATGATTCTGGTTAGTCAGTGTTAATTGTTTATCAACAATTTATTCTTCTATGTTTTATTCAATCTTCCATTTGTTTTTTTACCCTGTATTTTCTTCTATCCTAAATAGTCTCCCTAATATTTATGTTATATGAATTCATTTCAAATTAAAAATAAATTTTTTATATAAGTAATTGCTATATACAAAAATTAATATAAGAAAATAAATATGTTGCAGCTTATGGAAACGTTCCCATAAATTCTAGACAGGTAATCAATCATTTATATTATTTATATTTTTTTATTCAATGAAAATATATTTATTAAAGATAAAAAATAGAATAATTAGATAAAAAAAAACATACTCGTTTATAAGTTATAAAGATTTTTGATATAATAATATTATAAATAATATTATCATCACAATGTTAATGCATTTGTTATAGGGTATGCAGCAAAATAATTCCTTCACAGGTAGACCAATATCTTTACCAGCATACGTAGATCCTCCAACTATTCCACAAAATTCTCAAACTCTCTCAAATATAGATAGTAGAAGAGCTAGCGAAAGTGGGTCAGAAAGTGAACATAGCGTGGGTAGTAATCGCAAAGATCGTGATTATAAACGAAGTTCTGTTTTAAGCAATTTATTTGGCAGACGTAAGAAACCTCAATCGTAACCCTAGTGACGATAATATTTACGCTTTACAGAATTTAATATATCTGTAATAAGCGTACAAATTTTTATGGAACAAAAAAAAAATAAAACCCCTTCAATTAGAAAAAAAACATATATATGTTACTTTTGTAGCATAATATATGAAATATTTCACACAAAATTTATGTACTATACAAATTTTATTTTCTCGATCGTATTATTTAATAACGCGTTGAGCTAATGTACAAAAAAAAGGCTATATAAAACTATAATGTGAACAAAGAAAAAATACTTTATTCAAATAGTTAATGAAGTTACAATTTGACTTAATTTGAAAACAATATATTATAATGAACATGTATATCTTAAAGTAAATCTTTTTTTTTAAAAAATTAATTCCCTGATATTAGTCTTCATACAATAAAAAAATGTATAACAACTGTAGATTCAATTGGATCATTTGTTTGATGAAGTTTAAAAGTTGTTCTTATAATAATTTCTGAAATCCCATGACATGTTCAATTCAAATATTAAATTAAAAGTTATCAAATATATAACAACAATAATATATATGAACAATTTGTATCTTCATATTATTTGTCTTAAAATGTGCAAATGTACCTTATATATCAGGGATTGAAAAATATTAAGACAAAAAAAAAAGAAACAATCATTGAACAAAGAATTTTTAAAAAAATCATTATTATACAAAGATTGATTTTCCATTTTGGAGAAATCTATTATGCAACATATAAATTTTATAATAACAAGAATTTATTATTATAGTTACTACGATTGTTAAATTGTTTCATAAATTTCTTTAGATGCACCATAAAGCTACAAAGGACAGAATTATGCTAGAATTATACCTTACACGCGATGAATGTTATTGAATTTATTTAAAGTGTGTACCTGACTTTAAGAGGAATGTTGAAATGTATGGAAGAAGAATATGCAATTGCGTGAATAATGTAAGGTTTAAGTTTTATAAATATCAGTAATATATGTTGCAAATAATTATATATTTGAAAATGCCTGTTCAGGACCAATGATCTTATAATTTAATTAAAATGCCAGAAATATGTATACATATTTTTTGAAAAAATCAAGAAATTATACCATCTTAAAGTTTAATGATAATACTTTTTTTTTTATAGTAAAATAATGTTACAATGTGTAAAGTGTATTTAATATTACATAAAGATTAATTATATGTATTATGTAGAGTGTAAGAGTTATTATAATTAAGTACATAGAACATCACTTTTTGCGTTAAAATATCACTGAGATCGAGAAAAAGATTATATAAATAAAAAAAAATTTAAATTGATAAATTATATTTTTAAAATCCCAATAATTATTATTACAAAATTAATTAAATATTTTTTTAGATTATGCTTAGAATTAGTAATATATTAAATTAACATGATGCAATAATATATTATTGCATTGAATATATTGAATATATCTTATTAATTAATATTATATTAACAAATCTTATTTTAGAATGCAAAATTCGTCTATGTACTAAAATTAAATTGAAATTAGTTAAATATTTCCTAATATTAAACGACATTTTCTTTCTAATAATTTAATATATACACATATTTATTTGGTATTATCTCTATTTTACATAAAAATATAATTGCAAAACTAAATATCAATACAAGAGAATTACAAAAAAAGTAAGATATTTTTATTCTAATAAAAAATATTATAATAAAAAAAAAAAAAGAGATCAATTACACAAATGCTAAAGATATAATTTGAATTCACCAGACTTATGTTGCACAAAGATTTTACAGATTTTACAGATTTTACAGATTTCCATATTTACTTACTATGTAAATAAAATTTAATAAAGCTTAAAACAAATCTCAAATGCAACAATAGTAACAACAACGAATAATTTAAATTCTACAAAATAAAACAAAATTTCTTAAAATCAATCAAACTTTCAATATTTAGTATTATAATGAATATTTATAATAAAATTATCACATTTATTAATTTAAAAAAAAATAAACTTTATAATTCATTAGTAATTTACACTAAAAAAAAATTCATATTTTTAATCATAAATAATAAAAAAAATTTTCAATAAGAATGAGTTTACATGATATAACCGGCATATAACAGGCAGGCTACAATAAAATGGGGTATATTGTTACTAATAATCATCATGGCAATGGACACGTTAACAATTACACAATGGTTGGTGGTTGAAGAACAGCTGGTGCCCGTCTGACTTTTAGCGCTTCTGGACTTATGGCGCGCACCTGCTTTGTGATCTGATCATAGTCATATGTGACAGCCAATCCACCCTCTGAGTTCGTTTTTCTTGTGTATTCTTTATTCTGAGACAAGTTCATATTTTTTTGTCTGTCTGTCGTAGGTGTATTACTATAAAATGCGTCTGCAGCAATACTACCCTCTTCTTCTTCTTGACGATATTTTCTACTTTTTAATCTTAACACTGAATACACAGCAATGGATATTAAAAGAAGAAGAAACAATAATCCTACTGCAGCTGCTGCTGCAATTACTCTCATCTCCGTTGGATCACGAATAATTAACTTGATATTAGTGGAATCTCTGCCTTTTTCACTTTCTACTAACAAGGTATATATTCTAGCATCCTCTGTTTGGAGGTCTTTGATTACCAGTTTTGCCCAATAGCAATTTGTTGGTATTTCGTTTTCTTTGATATGCTCTAATGACAATGCTTCATATTTTGGATGAATACTTTCACCTGAACAGAAAAAAATAATTATACTTTTTTTTTTATAGTTAGACGAATAATTAATGATATTCTTTATAAATTTAATTTCTTATTTTTAAAGAAAAAAAATAGAGATATCGATTAAATTTTTCTAAATTCTAACATCTCCATCAAAGGATTCATTGATAAATGATGATTTTGAATTTACCAGCTCTGATATGTGAGCTTCCCCATTGCCAAGCAACGAGTCTAGGCGGAGGTCTCGAACAGAAACGAGATTTCAAAATATGTTCCGGTTCGCCAGCCCATCCCAGCGACTCGTAAATGCCCTTACCACCGGAAGAAGGCCTCGCCTGGATCTCAGGAGGTCCGGTTACGTGAAGCAAATAACGAGCATCGCTGGGCATTTCTCTCCGCACTCCGTTGATCACGTTGAATGCCACACATCGATATTCTCCTTCGTCGGACCACATTACATTCTCCAAACGCAATCGTTTACCACCATCTTTGGGCTGTAATGAATTCTCGATGGTCTCTGTTACGCCACCACGAAGATGCATCCATCGGTATTGAGCTGGAGGATTTGCTTCAAAGTCTGTACACTCAAAAGGTTCTAAACTTGTACCGAGTAGAGTAGTCTCTTCGAATTTTTTAATGGTATTATTATGAGCAGGATCTTCTGAATTTAATCTCGGTCCATCTAAAAAATAAAAAATTCAAACATAGATTTAAAATGATACATTCTCTATGGATATTTAGAGGAAAATCTGTCTAAATTTATCATTTAGAGAAATAACTAACTAAAACAAGATTACAAAAGAAATCATAATTTCTAAAATTGATTACAGAGAGTAATTTAATAACAGTTAATTTAAGCAAATCATGATACCACTATAATAAGTGACGAGCAAATGTTCACATCGATGAGCATATTATTGTTCTATCATTGCTCTATCTTTTCCTTCTTTGAAAAGCGGTTAAGATATAAAGAATGGCCATTAGTCAAGGAAAGTAGTCAAATTGACGTGTTCTCATAACTGATCACTGTTGTTGTTCACGAAGGAAAAAAAAAAAAAGAAAAAAGTAGATAACACAGTAAAAGTCGGACTACGAACATTGTACATCCAGCCTGTAGTTAGCCGCGGTGCTTTCACCAATAATGTTGACCGCCTTGCAAGAATAGAGACCAGCGTCGTTTCTCTTGACCGGCTCGAATCTTAGCTCGGAGCCGGTCATCGTGCCGTTCTGCTGCGTTCTGTTTAGCATCAACGTTACTATGTTGCTTGTTACCGCGATGGGAGCTGAATCCTTGAACCACTTGATCGTTCCGCTGGGATTGCCGTCCGCGAAGCATTTCAGGCTCATAAAACTGGCCGAATCCTCGAGGGCTGAAACTAGAAGTCGTGGCTTCGTCTCTAATCTCACTTCAGGAGAATCTGAAAATTAATATGCAATTTAACAATAATTTCTTTTTAAGAGACAATAAAAAATATAGTTAATTTTTTTTAATTTTGCATATAAAATTTACGAGATTTTAACATATAGATACGATGCAAAATACATTTCTTGATGATTTTTATAAAGAGATTAGAAATCCACCTTTGAAAATCTTGTATAATATAATTCTGATGTAGAATTATTTTTCAATATTTTTTAAAAAAAAATTCGTCGAATCATCTTCATAATTTCAATTGCTAAAAACTCAAATTCTCGTTTAACTTTTACTTTATTTTAGGGGAAGGGATTACCATCATTACTCGTCGTATACATCATTTCATCAAGAGGTTTTCGAATCTATTCACTAGAATAGTTAAAAGTGAAGTGTAGCGTGAATTACAAACGTAGTTGTTTCCATTCTGTATAAGTAAAAACTTGTCTATACTTGTACAAAAGTACGTGAAATATACATACAATGCACATCCAATCGTGTTTCCGCAGAAGCTGGAACGATACTGGATGGATGCATCGTGATGCACTGAATCGGCAGACCATGATTCTCCCTTTGTCCACGAACTCGGAGAAGGCTGTGGGCTGCTGAAGTTTTTGGACTGTCCACTTCCGTTGCATTCGTTTGTTCTCTCAAGGGTTCTATTTCGTCTCCTCCTATATACCTGTATAAAGAAACAAATAATTATTATCTGTATTTGAAAATTTCTATTTTATATTTTCATAAAACAGATGTTCTATTCTTATTAGAAAACTTTTTTACAGATATATTTTTCACTATATGAAAGTCTCAGAAGAGTCTTCAAAAGTAAAAATAAGAGAAAGGAAAATAATAAATAATAATAATAAATAATCAAGCAGAAATTAATTAAATTCAATACAAAATTTTCTACACGTATACAATAACAAATTCTTATATTATTGATTGAAAAATTTTGTCACTATATTTAAACAAGCAATTACGTTCAAGTTTCCGGAAAGCCATTTAAGAATTTCTCACGAATACCGATATTCAAGGTTTATACCCTTTCTAGAGTGATTCACGGGGCGACTATGCCTGCAGCTAGTTTCTCCGCTTCTACGACTACAATCTGCATAATTACGATTGCCACTGTATCTTCAGTGCAACGAAGCAAAGGAAACGAGACAGAGAGTCAAAAAAAAAAAAAAAAATATAAGAAACGACAAAATAGACAGCATGCCTATTAAAGGTTGTAAAAGAATCGTTGGAAGTTTGCTCCGTTACAATAGTCACAACATAACTTCTGGGAGTGCAAGACAAAGTGTGAAATTACTGTTCTAACTTTCTTCTTTCCATATTCGATTCATTTCTGCGAAAAAAAATGCTTGCTAGCATAAGCATCTATTATGTGAGTTGTAGAGTAAGTGTGTTTGCTACGAGTTGCTCTTTTGCAGGCGTTGATATCACAAAAGATATGAAAAATAGCAAAAAAATTATGAATTGGTTTGAATGAAAATTTAATCAAAAGAAAAATTTGATTAGCGTTTGAAACATTTTTAATTTAATAGAAAAAAAAAAAAATAGAATATTTTAAATTTTTATATAATGAATTAAATGATTAATTATTCAATTAATCATTTAAATTTTTTGTGTTTTATTGGATATATTGGTTTTATTTTTATTTTAGAAAAAGAATTGTTATAAATTTCATCATTTTAGAAAAAATTTATTTCGGAAAATGAATTTCAAAGAAGAGAGAATATTTTTTTTTCTTTTTTTTTTTTTTTTGTGTGAGTATTAAATATTTGAGAGATATTCCATGAAAAATGAAACGGATCGGATTCGATTCACGGACAATTACCAGTGAAACTTGTCCCCCATTTGTACGATTTCCTCTTTCAACTAAATCGTTTGCGCTTTCTAAGTATCGATTAATGATCTTTAACAATAAAACTTGACTATAGAAAATTCCTTCTTTCAAAGAGAAACAATACAATTATGATTTCACATATCCAATTACTTAATTATCCAATTAATTAACTATATTTTTCGACTTGGAAATTATGCGAGTTTCTAATTCTATTAATATAACTTTAACGATTATATTAAAGATAATGAAATAAAAGCGATAATTTATAATCCGCAATTACGATAATTTATCATCTTAAAGTCAGATGAGAATATGTTTACACCGCATAACACGTGCATTCAGAAATGCCAGGGGATCGTGGAAATTGTAACGCTGCTCATGCAAACATGATGATCAGTATAGAGTGAGTTTTATGTTATAAGAATTTAGATGAGGTGTGGCTAACTGATCACTAGACCATGACATAAAAAAAGTTGCTGGCAAACTTCTCTGCTGCACAAACACCGCATTATAGCTTCTTATTTCATCTATTGCCTTTGTGAATTGCGTTTTTTACATCTCTTGATGAAACTGTATTTTCATGAAAGTAGAAAATCTGTGAAGATAAAGAATGCATCGGTGTTTAGTCACAGAAACGAGGAAACTTTTTAGGAAATTTTTTTTTTTTTGTTGCTCTTGAAATATTCTACGATCTGATTGATCTATGATAAAACAGAATTATATTAATTTAATTCTTGTGGTTTATCAATATCCCTTATTAATCTTTTTATGTAAATTTATTTATAGAAGATAATAATATAATTTCATCTACAGTTAGCATAATTCTAAATGAAAGTCGTTGCAAAAACAATAGGAATTTAATTAATACCGTTCTACAAGTGTTTTATTGTTGAGCATAATTGAAATGAACGAGAGGAAACGAAAAGAATTGACAAAAATGCATTTCTTCTCATCTTGATAAAATTGCTATTTATAAACTAAAGTTTAAAAAACGGAATCTTAATGATTTTTATATATATGATATTTATTGGAATAATTATGTGTGGATTAAATTTAGCCTTTGAAAAGAAATTAACTAGACTCACCATTTGATAAGGGCCGGTGGGTTTCCATATCTTGATACACAGGAAATAGTAACTTCCTGACCTTCCCTTAAAGTCAGAGCGGAATTTAAAATTGTCCCTCCATATTCCAACCGTGGCTTTCGGGGTTTTACTGAAATTCATACAGTAAAAAAGACATTTCATAATAACATAAAATAGAAATTTTAAATTTCTTCTCTTAACAATGATTGTATTTAATTTTACTTTCATTCTTTCATTTCTCTTCATATTACATCAATAATAAATAAAAATTTTCATAATTTATTAAAAATTATAACGATTAATATTCATATAATAATTTCCTTATTTTTCAATCAATACAAATTATTAGTTATTGTATTATAATATATTGTAATAATTATTGAACTTGTAAATTCAATTTGGCAGAAAATTGCATCATTAAATTTGAAATTTTGTTGCAAAAATCCAATGGGAAAAAGAAAAGTAGAACGGCTGGTTCGCGTTACATCATATCATGCCCGTGTTTAGTAAATTTCAAGCACCGCCAAATCTACATCGTTCCATTGAGAAGGCGTCAGAATCTGATTAGCCATACATATGATTCGTCAAGGATCACTCACGGTGAGGAAAGCGATATTTCTCTAGTGACGTAAAAATGCAACGTTGCGTTAAAACTAAGTGTACACACTTATTTTACGCTTTAACGTTTCGCGGAACGTTGAAGATCATTACAGTAATCTCTTTTGATTTCATAATTGCCACTTAAGTATATTACATTAATATGCGATCCATTAGAAACAGTAATTTTAACCGTGTTTTTAGAAAAATTGGTTTACCGGGTTAATATAAACTTGAAGTAATTTCCCAGACATAGATTTTTCGTTAGAAAAAGCAGGCAATCTGTTCCTTTTTTTTTTTTTTTAGAAAGAGGGCTATTTTAAGATGATAATATCGTGCACACATACAAGCTGGTATCGAAGATTCTTAAGTGGGTGAAAAAATTCTTGGTCTGATACAAGTCTGGGAAATTTAGTCGGTAATCGTTTGATATAGTGAAGAGGAAGTTTTTTTCAAAGCATAAAACATGATATTATTCATATGGCATTAGAGACCAGTGAATATAAAAAAAAAGAACATTTTAGGAAATCAGAGATTTTTCTTCAGTATCTAATATATGATGTTTTATATTAATGAGAGAACAAATACTGAAAAAAAAATTAGAAATATAAAAGTAATATAGAAAAAAATATTTGAAATAAATTAAAAAAAAAAGAAAAAAAACAAATAATGAAAAAAATAATTAAAAATATGAAATAATTAGTAAATAAATTGAGTAACAACTACAACAAAAAAAGATTATAAGAATAACATAAAAATATAATTTTTATATATTTTATATGGAATTATTCAATTGTTACAAACTTGCGAGAACATAAGAATTAATCTCTCTAACAACGATTGATCCCAATCCTATTATTAAATACCGTCAATTTATTTTAAAAGTTTTAATTATTCAAAGTTCATCAATTATTCACTCATCGAACAAACCTTACCTCTAACTAAAAGACGAGATGGTAAAGAGGTTAATGCATCTTGTCGCGTAAAATCGCCAGAAGTAACCTGACATTCCCAATAGCCGTCATCGAAATCAAGGGAGGCTCTTCTGATAAGGAGGGTGCAATCACTACCACGTCCACTGGCCCATTCGTATTTATCCGGATGCATGCCTACTGGTTTTCGGTCTTTTTGCCAAATACACTGACCTCGTTTGTCTTGCACTCTGCATCGTAATTGCACATCATCACCGGAGGAAACTTCTTGATATAATGCTGGAGTCTCTGCGAATCTTTGCTCAGCATTAATGCGAGCAGTGATTATAAATATGATCACAGTAATGCTTTGAAAATAAATGAAGTTCATTTTGAAGATTGTAATTATGATTAGATAAGTATCTTAGGTACTTTTTAGAATTTTGTTTCTAAAAATTTTATTATATATTTACATATAATGTTAGCTTTGATTCTTTGGAATACTCATTATCGATAATATTTTGATACTTGTTGTATCGATTCTATTTCGAGATGAATTTCTTATTATACAATATTATTGTATTTTGTTGAAATAAGTTCGTTGTAAACTGTATCACAAATGACGGTTTTTAAGTTCGTTGAAATAATCGATGTTATATAAAATTATTCGATATCATATTATAAATCGATCGATGAATCGATTTCTGAGCGGCATAAAAAATTGGCGCCAAACGAATCGAAGATAAAATATTTCGAAAATATAACAAACATAACAATATTTATATATTTGTAACAATATTTATATTTCTTTCATATTCATAATTAATTAATGATTTTAATTTTTTAAAATATTTGTTTATCAATGAAAACTTTAAAATTTAAATTTTTTAAATCTCCTTTTGATAAAATATTTTCACTACACTTCAATTTGATGGAATTTAAAACACAAAATATTAAACACTCGAATATAAAACACAAAATTTAAATGCTATCACATTCAATAAAAATTAATATGTAGATTCAAAATTATAGTTTCGACGGAGACATTAATATTCATAATTGATCTAATAGTTTATAACCAACATTGAGAATCTTTCCGTTGAAGAATATGAGACGAAGTGTGCGTGAACTGTTGTGAAATTCGAATGAAACTCCGTGACAGCATAGAACTTGTAGCGCCATCATCGGTAGTTAACTGAAACATTTTTACATCCCTTATAAAATTCAAATTTTTTTTGCGTTTTTTTGCTACGCAAAACAAAATATTTGTATAAATTCAAAACATTTTTTAGAAAATACAAACTTTTATATTTCCATAAATAAAATAGCCTGGATTAGATCGAATAATATTTGATTTCATTAAAACTTTCATAGATTATAACGGCCATAACTTTCATTATCATTTGTAGCGGAAAATTGAATTCTATTTCATATAATTTTTAACACATCTGTTGTCTATATGTCACCATGATTCTTACAAATTCTCTCACTTTTTATTTTATTTATTCCATATTTTTATTTTTATGTCTGATTTCTTAAAATTTTAAGAAAATTTTTTAAATCACAATCACAATCATAAATTTAAAGGAATAAAATTTTCCATTAAAAAAAATTAGATTTTCTTTCACAAATCACTTTTTTCTTTTCAAATTCATAAAAGCAAATTATCAAATAGAGTATTAAGTTGTTGAAAATTATAATTTGAAGAATAGGTGGATCATGCACGGGAAGCGGACGATGCCTGAGAAACAAGAAAAGAAAACAGTCTCGTACACAAAATCAAGTATATCTAGGACGTCAGAGTACAATGCTATAAGCACATAGTGGAACTGAACCAGAGTTAAAGCCAGAACATTCACCAGAATGGAAGCGGAAGACGGGCCCCAAACGCAGGCCCACGCGTGCGTATCCAACCCTGTCTCCTCTGTTGGCTATCCTTATTATTCGAGCGTGTTATCATTATGCCATGCTATGGCGAGTTTAGCCGCCCATTTGTTCTACGTACTCTTTATTTTGCGCTTACCTAGCATAAACCATCATCACGCCCTCTTCAATTGATCCCCAAACTTGTCACAATGAAATTTCGGATTTTTACAGATCAATATTAAATATAATTTAACTAATAGATAAGTTTTAAAGAAGGAAATATGTAACATTTAATGATTTATTGCATTTTTAGATTCATCTTCACATTTTAAAGATTAAAACGGAATATTTATATCTATTAATCTATTATATGAATTAAGATAAATTACCGATAGAGATATGTTTTATTTTTTATTTCCAATATCAAAATCTAATTAAGAGAATGTATTACAACATATTATTTTTTAAAAAATAATTTACATTTTATAGTGTTACTGTAATATATTAATTAGTAGTATTATTATTTTATAATATTATTATTATAATTTAATAAATCATTGATAAATCGATAGTTTAATAAAACAATTTCAAGAAGTCGATGAATAATTTTATTGTGAAGATAAATATTAATGATTGTGCTAATAAGCTGTTAATTGATTTACTCATTCATTCATCTTATCGACATAGTTACTTTGATGAGATTATAATGATCAATATAAACTATTAAAAAAATTCAAGAATTAATTTAGATAATTCATTGTAACTACGAACTAATTTTTGGGAAAACAAGTTTTTCCTTATGACAAAAAAAATATTACGAATCCCTTCATTTTTAGCGGAAATCTTTGGAATGATATATAGAGTCATATAATAAAATATATGCTACAATATACTCTTTGCTATTTATTATTTTAATAATTAATAAAATAAATTATTATTTGACTATTTATTTGAAAATTACTATTTATTAGTTAAGAAAGATTAATAAAAAAAAATGACAGCTGCAATATTTTACAGATAAGTATATATAATCACTATTTTGTTTCAAATTCTGTACGGATTTAAAAAATATAAATTATCTATCTATGATAACATTTATCTTTGACAAATATTATTATATTTAATCTTGTTTGAATAATATCAAATTATTGAATATCTTTGAAAAAAAATATCGTATATAATTTAAAGATTTTTAAAATATATCGTTTGTTGAAATTAACATTTAAATTGAAAATTTGTATTATGATTCGTTTCTTATGAAAAATTTTAATGGGAAATGTAGCTACTATACTCTTCGTATAATCCAAACTTTTTCCTATAATTCTCATGTTTTCGAGCCAATAAAAAAAAAATTTTCAAATTAAAAATACGGCTTTGATAAAGAAGTTCAAAGTGCAAAAATGATTACAATCACAAATTAGTTTTTTAATAATATAATAATAGAAAATTACAATGTGATAAGTATTTTAATAAACATAAAAATTATATAGAAAAATAATAGAACTTATTTTCAAATAAAATAAAAAATTATCTTTAAATAATGAATATTTCATTTTTCTTTAATATAAATATAACTTAATTTTAACTCTCTTTAATAAGAAAAAAAAAATATGATTTTAAGTGTGCTTGATGTAAAATGTAAAATCGATTGATCGATATTGCAAGGATTGCTTGCTTAATTGTAAATCGTAACTAATTTCAGAGCTGTTGTGAACAATGGCGACGTTTCAACGAAAGTGACATTCTGACGAACAAATGTGTTTTCACACTTTAACATTAATCTTCTTTTGTAGATATTAATTACGCTCATTAGCTGCTAAATCAGCAGAAATCCGTGTTTTAGAATGGCTTTGAACGCTAACGCGTTATCTAGTGACATAAGCCGAAGAAATCCACAAGATGAATATGAACTCATTCAGAGGATAGGCAGCGGAACGTACGGAGATGTTTACAAGGTTCGTGGATTTATATATTTTTATATATTCATATTTAAATGCATTGTATTTACAAACAATTCGATTTTTTTATAGGCCAAAAGACTTTCCACGAATGATCTCGCTGCAATTAAGGTTATCAAATTGGAACCAGGTATATCTTCCAGTTTTTCCGCCTTTTTTTACAAATTTTTCAAGTTTTTATTCATTAAAAATTTTATAGAATACAATAATTTACATGAATACAAATAATAATTTAAATGTTTAATTTATTTTGTATGATTTAAAAAAACTGATTTTAGATTTCTGATTGTTTCTTATATAGTATTTTACAATTAAATTATAATTAAGCAAATAATTATTATTTATATCGTTTTTTCGCTTTTTTTCTTTTATATTTATATTTTTTTTCATTAAAATATATTTTAAAAACATTTGCATATTTATATATTTAAGTTTTATATTTAAGTTTTATATTAAGTATTATAAAAAGTTAGAAATATATTAATATATTCTTTTATTAATAAATGAATTATATTTTTAATATTTTTTATATTTAAGATTATTTATTCATACATATAATCAATTCATACATATAATCAAAACAAAATAAATACATTAATATAGTTTCTTTGATTACTATTATTTAAAAATATATTAAAGAAAATTCAATGCAAATTCTATTCAAATTATAATTTAATAAATATTTTTATTAATGAATGTTAATATTAATAAGATTATAGAATGTGAATACATTTTTACATATCATGCATTATTTAAATGTTTTAGGAGATGATTTTGCAATAATTCAACAAGAAATTTTAATGATGAAAGATTGCAGACATCCTAATATTATTGCTTATTATGGAAGTTATTTGAGAAGAGATAAATTATGGATTTGTATGGAATATTGTGGAGGTGGTTCTTTGCAAGATATATATCATAGTAAGTTTTTTTATTAATATTTTTTTATAATGCCTTAATTTACATAATTAATATTCAAATTAGATATTTATGATAAAAATTACTTATTCTTATGATATATTGCAATATTAAAAATATATCATAATATAATGAATATTTTAATAATGTTATAGTAACTGGGCCTTTGTCAGAAATACAAATAGCATATATGTGCCGAGAAACACTTTTGGGATTGGCTTATTTGCATAGTATGGGCAAAATGCATCGTGATATTAAAGGTGCCAATATATTATTGACTGAAGCTGGTGATGTCAAGTTAGCTGATTTTGGTGTATCAGCACAAATTACTGCAACTATTAATAAAAGAAAGAGTTTCATTGGTACTCCTTATTGGATGGCACCTGAGGTATCCTGATTTGATTGAATAATTTTATGAAAATGTTTTAGAAATTTATATTTTAATTTATATTTGCAGGTTGCAGCTGTAGAAAGAAAGGGTGGTTATAATCAACTTTGTGATATTTGGGCATGTGGAATTACTGCAATAGAGTTAGCTGAATTGCAACCACCTATGTTTGATTTACATCCCATGAGAGCACTTTTTCTTATGTCTAAATCTGGATTTAAACCACCTACATTAAAAGATCGCGACAAGTGGAGTCCAACA